CTAATGGTGAATGGGACTTAGTAACTTGGTAAGCATGTTGTACGCAACAAATGGGTTTATAAAATCAAGAGATTGTCTGATGGAAGTATTAAACAATTTAAAGCCCGTTTGGTTGCAAAAGGCTTTGATTAACAGTGTGGTGTTGACTACACCTACTTCTATTCGCATTATGTTAGCCTTGACCATTTCATTTAATTAGCCTCTTCGGCAATTAGACATTTTAAAAGCTTTTCTACATGGCTATCTTGATGAAGAAGTATTTATGGAACAACCATGAGGTTTTGTAGATAAGACTCGTCCTAATTATATTTGCAAACTTCATAAGTCACTTTATGGTCTTAAACCAGCTCCAAGAGCTTGGTTTAGATAATTGTCCCAAACATTTACTTGAGTATGGTTTTGTTGAATCAACCGCCAACTACTCACTGTTTGTCTTACTACTGAGACTGTGAAATTATTTGTGTTGATATATGTTGATGACATTATGGTTACTGGGTCAATCACACAGGCAATTGATTCTTTTATCCAGTCTCTATCAACTAACTTCATAGTTAAAGATCTTGGAAATCTGAGTTTCTTTTTAGGTGTTTAAGCATTATGAGATTCTCAAGGCCTGCATTTTCGTCAAACCCAAAACATCATAGATTTACTACATAGCACCAAGATGGCTGGTGCAAAGCCACTTGGGTGCCCCACTACATTTGGTCTGAAGTTATCTTCTACAGAAGTTCTCATACTGTCTGATCCAGTAGAGTATAGAAGAGTGGTTGGGGCGCTTCAATATTGTACTTTCTCTAGACCGGATATTGCATATGCAGTAAATCAATTGCTTCAATTTATGCATTCTCCATGTGAATCTCATTGAGCTGCTATCAAAAGAGTGTTTCTGTATCTAAAGGGTAGTATTGGTACCGGTCTATTGTTCACTCCAAGATCTATTACTCTTCAAGCTTTTTGTGACTCAGATTGGGCCGATAACCCTAATGATCGTTGCAGTACCACTGGATATGCAGTTTTTCTCGGAAAAAATTTGATATCATGGTTTGCCAGGAAACAACCAATTGTCTCCAAGAGTAGCTCTAAAGCCGAATATCAAAGCATGGCCATCGCCACAACTAAACTCTATTGGATAAGAATGCTCCTCAAGGAACTTGGTATCTTCATACCATACACTCCTACACTATGGTGTGATAACATTGGAGCTATCGCCTTGGCTTCTAATCCTGTTTTCCATGCGCACACAAAACACGTGGAAATTGACTACCACTTCACTTGAGAAAAGGTCCTCAATAAAGACATTCAAGTGCAACATATTTTCACCCAAGATCATATTGTTGATATCTTCACAAAGGGGCAAATAGTCGCCCATTTTGTGTACTTCGGTCCAAACTGATGGTGATGATCATCCCCATCACTTTGTGGGGGGTGTTAGACCAAGAAATCACAATCATCAATCTCCTCCATTCAACACCTCCATTTAATACTGGTTCTTCCATATCAGTAAAGACTCCACAATTACCTCCAACGTGATCTCAGCATTCCATTGATTTCTCCTCAATTCTATCAATCATGACAATTGTACATTCCATATTTCATATAATGAACTTTGTTATTTAAAGCCATTGTAATTTCCAAAAGATGTAAGTTGGCCATTCCATTCATCTTATACATTACTGCTCTTCTACAGTTTTGTTATTTTTAACTAATTTTACTTTTGAAAATTTGCATTAAAAAAGAAAAAATCACAGCCGTTAAATTTACATGGGCTATGACTTTTTGGATGTAAACTTTCTAAAAATTTCGATGTCATGCCCATGTAAAATTTTCTAATAGAATGACGTAAATTATATTGAGAAATTTGTTGCATGAAAATAATAAATGTTAATGAAATAATTGAAATATTTTAAAGAAAATACTAGTTGGACGCCTTTTTTAAGACGTAAATTTGATGTACTTTTAGCTATTTTCACTATCTATTTGATCATTCGATATATTTATGATGATGTTTTCGAAACAAGTTTCAAGATGATGTAGGCAATTTGTGAATTCAGCTAATTTACGATTGTTGGAGAATTTTGAAAGTTAGCATGTTATTGAAATTTTTGAGATACTAATTTGAAACAGTTTACTTTGACAAGCCATAAATTTTAGCTATGGTTGGTCGTTTTGCGCGGCATTGACGGCATAGAAAATTAGGCGGTGAGCACATTGAAATGATATTAAGAATACAATATCTCGACGTCGTTTGGTATCCCGTAATGACTTAAAAAATTGAGACAAAAGTATAATCAATGGTGGTAAAAAATGGATTTTTCCAAAAGTTGGGGTCACGTGACCCCATGCCACCTCCTACATCCGCCACTGTTTCATGTGATCCACAAGTACTTCTCATTTATTACCATTCATTTCTATCTATTTATAATTTAAATCGATTATAAACAATTCTCAAACATGTTTGTACCTAATTCATATCACAATAAAACCTCTTTAATGATGCGTTGATAATTTATGTTCAGATGTTATCGATCTCTTCTTAATTGATAGTTTTCGAATTGCAGCGATAGATAAGTAATGCTATTTAGTCCCACTTGAATTGCAATCTCAATTTAGGTTACGATAATGTAGCATTTAATAATAATTAGAATTACATGACACTAGGATTGCAACCCTAATGAGGTTAAATAACATAGCTCGATAAATATTCATCTTATTTAAAAGCAATGTAGGTGTAACATCACGATGCTTGTACAAGACATTCACAAAAGTCATTTTTGCAATATTTCACTTTGTGCTCTCAAGAAATTAAAGCAATATAAAAGCCCACAATAGTTCATTTTGTGTCTCCAACACTAAGGGTCAGCTTGACAGGAATTTTGAAAAGTCACAAGACTTAAAAGCTGATTTAAACATTTTTGAATACTTTCCTAAAAGTATTTTATCCGTGGAAATGGTTTAACATAACTTTCCAAAAAGCTCTTCGTAAAAACAACAATAAAATTCCAACCGAATGGCCCCTAAATAACATTGCACATGTTGACAAGACTCCCCAGCTTGTTTCTTGGAAACTCAGTCAGCTGTACTATTCTTGTGAAAAATGTAAAAACGACATTTGATAGCACTCCACAAAAATACTGGTACTTTAAAAATCGTATTTTGTGCTAAATTTGCAACCCATTACCAATACGCCTGTTTCTGGGGCATGGATTTATTTCAAAATTGAAGCCAAATAGAAGACTCTACACCAATCCTATAGAGCATATTTTGTGCGCAACATTTTATACAGAATTAGACCATATAATCCATGTTATCAAACATGTCAATAATGTAAAATATACGTTATACAGGAAGTTTTTGCACGTTAAATTTGAGATCAGTGCTTCACATAAGATGCATAAATACTACTGTATAGTCTGTCATATGCATTAGTTTCTAACTAAATTTTAAAAATGCCCATGCAACATATTTCTATTCAATGATCAGCATCAAATGGCAACATTGCCCATAAGGTTTTTATACTTATTTTACACTGATTTGTGCAGAAAATTTTATCATTTTCTCACAGAAGAAAAAATCAATAATAATTAAAGAAGATGGACATAGACAATGCTTTCCATAGGCAATGGTCATACCCTATAATAAATGTTGACATTCTTAGCATACATGATTCTAGAAAGTAAGATGATAACTTGAGTTTTCATAGATATACAATGCTGCCTCCTGGAGGGAAATTTGTCATTCTCGACCAAGAAAATTGCCAACTCAACAAGATATGGACCACACAAGCTAATTTCTAATTCATACCTTTCTGCATTGACACATGAAGTAAGAAGAAGTCACCCATTCTACAGCATCTTTCTAACTGATAAGATAGAATCAATCATCTTTTTGGAAATCTCAAACACTTGTTGTATTTGGATTCTATTGTACTTGGGGCTGCACTAACTTGTGCTTTGTTTCGTTTTGAAAAGGAGTGTTTTTCCATTGCATTCACAAATTCGTGCAAGTGCTTAATGTACTCTAGGAAATTTTCAAGATTTCAGTGTCCTCCACCTTGGACCCATAATGGATCTTATTTCTCCTCAGAAAGTTCCCATAATTGCTTACCATGGGACCAATCGACAATATCATCATTTGTTCCCTACAAACATTGAACCAACAGAAATAAGATTTGTTGAAAAATGAAAACAAAATTAGCTTGTGTTAGCTCATGCCTGTTGGGGGGTTCAGAATATAGTAGAGGTTTATCTATTGTATAGTCCCATGGAAAATATAAATGCCCTGAAAACATTCAGTAATAGATCACAAGTGGTGTTCATTAATATGGGCACACCAAATCAAGAAAATCTTTCTAATCTTATTCCTAGTTGAAATTTTTTTTCTATTCTAGATAACTTTTTCAGGACCATTTCCTCCTACACTTGCTAGTAAACCTAATACCAGCAAGCATAGCTAACTCTTGAAATTTGATTTTATTCCTAAACTTGACAAAGCTTTTTGACGTTCACTTTCACAAGACAGAAGCTCATAAAAGAAAACTTTATTAATCACGTTACTATTATTCCAATTCCACATTTCTCCTTTAATTCGGGATAAATGTTAGTTTGAAAAAACCTTAACCCTTAAAGTCTCTAGAAGGCATCATATTACCAGATCAACGTAGCTAACTCTTGAAATTTGATTTTATTCCTAAACTTGACAAAGCTTTTTGACGTTCACTTTCACAAGACAGAAGCTCATAAAAAGAAAACTTTATTAATCACGTTACTATTATTCCAATTCCACATTTCTCCTTTAATTCGGGATAAATGTTAGTTTGAAAAAATCTTAGCCCTTAAAGTCTCTAGAAGGCATCATATTACCAGATCAACAGACTAGAAATGGTAACACCACATAGAAAACTCAAAAACTTTCATTGTGAAAGTGAGAAATGTAATTGCTGCGTAGAAAAATAGATGTTCTGGAAATGCATTTGGAGAGGAGAAAAAAGGATGAGAGACAGATCATTCTTACATGTATAACTAAAATGGGGCAAGTTACATTCTATATTTTGTCGATGTCTTGCAAAAAATGAACAGAAACTTTCTCAATCACAAACCTAGATAAAAAACTGGATTAGGAGATAAAATTGAAGACCAACAGACTCTCGAGAAGCTTACTTTAAAAATGTCGAACCAAATGTCAATTTGACATTGTACAGAACTCGTATTCCTAAAAGAATAGCGCTATGAAGAACAACAGCTCTCAACCTCGGTGAGCGAGCAGCCAAGTGTAGGGTGGACCATTCCCGACAGATTGACCATACAAAATAACATCCTCTTGCTTGATTCCATATTCATTCTTCAAACAGTTATAGACAACCTCGATGTCATGGTATGTGTTGAACTCAGATGGCTGTCACATGAAAAGAATGCATTGAGCATAAGATATATCCGCTAATGGTATATAATATGGCTTCTTATTGTCTTACATATTATTATGGAAGAGAATTTCGTGGACAATTTACTTTGGATATTTTGTACTTTTTATATTTGAAATGTCATTTATTCTACGCACATCAAGGGCATCAGAAAACATCCAATCAAAAATCTCACCTTACGGTGGATGCTCCATATCCCGAATAGTCATAGCTGCTAAAGGTAAAAGAAAAAACATTGTTAGCAACAACTATCCAAGATAGAAGTTTTGAAATACATATTATTTTCCATTCTTGAATTATTGCAAAAAAGAAAAAATTATTAACTCGAAAACACTCATGACTCATCCGACCAATTATAGCAGTTGGCTGGCAAGCTGAAATCAGAACTACTTTCTAATTGTGATAGGCCGCTTGAAATCAAATTTAAATTTGTAGACAAGAATTTCTATCCAATTTCGAGGTCTCATCTTAAACTACCAAACAGTTTCTTAAACGATTCTAAAATTAACAACCTTAGGAAGAACCAAATATACAACTAAACCAACAAAAAGGACAAAAGAACACCAGCTCAATATCAAAACAAATCACAACCTTCAACATCTCTCTGAATTCAAATGATGATTAACTAAAATTAATTTCCAAAGCCAAATTCTGATTTTCCATCTAAATCTGTATTTATATCTAACACGTTATAATGAAAAATTGCACAACAGAAGCGCAAGAAAACAAAAACACCCTGCTTAGTAAGGAAATTGCTGAAAACCACAATCTTGAAGGCACCCATGTTCAATACCAACATTACAATAAAAACCCATTGAATTTACATTCCAAAATAATAATAAAAACGCTCAAACACTGCATAAGCAAATACAGATATTCATAAAAAATGCATACATGACACACACAATTTATTTCCTATATATACAAACTCAAATAATCAAGAAATGGAAATTTATACGAACCTCATGATATTGACACGAAGGTTGGCCCTGAGCTCGATAAAGAGGTCCTGCATTTGTCCCAAATCGGCAGCGTTTCCATGGGAGTACAATACGGTGAACCTTCCTGTTGGGTGCTTCCAGAACGCAGTCACAACCTTATTCCCGCCCTTGGTTTGCAACAAATGGACGTCCACATTTTTATCCACTGTTAAACCACTCATCACTAGCCACCCATCCAATTCATCACAGTAGACATCGTACGTGGGTGGGTTCGACGAGAAGAATGCAAATTTTGCCGCCACACTTGACGTCACATTTCCCATTTATCACAACCCCTTCAAACAACAAAAAATCAGCTATCAATCAAAAATTCCACGCTTCGAGCCATAAACACACCACCTACGACACGGAATTTCGTTCCCAGTAAATGAATATCATATCAAATTTCAAAACTGGTTTTTTTTCTGGTGTTCTTTTTTGTTCTTCTTTCCCTGGTTTTTGAGTTATTGATAATGGGGAAGTCGGGTGATCCGCTCTAAAAGGAGGGTGGAGACAGACGGGTTAACTAAGAAAGAAGCAAAAGAAAAGTGTGTAATTTGTGTATGTATTTGTCCGTTTGCATGTATTTTTTTTTTTTATAATAATTAAACACTTTGAACAAAACAAACACATCATTATCTTGGATTGATGACTAAGATTCGGTCAAAGGCTGCTGTGGATCTATACAGAAAGAGAATTACATACTAAAAGGTTGAACCCCAACCTTGAGCGTCCCTTCCTCACCGCCTTTGTCCTGTAGTATCGTGAGCGAGGTAAATCGCAGGATATGCCTCCAAGGATACAGGGTGGAAGGTTGCTTGTACACTTGCACTTACTCAAGAGCCAAATCCATATTTCAAGATTCGAACCCTTGACGCAGCAGCCTCAAGCAAAACTGGATTTCTCCACCCTCCCCTTTTACGACTTGGAAATGTACCCTGGGGGCGAAAGAGAATTACATATTTGTTGTATGTTTTGATGCTTCCTTAACCAGTTTCGAGAGATACATTTGAGTTGGAATCTGCTATCAAGAATTGACTGCCCAATTCGTTGTTCAATCAAAGATTTATTGACACATAATCTGTCCAACTTTTCTCTCACCGTCATTTGTGCTTGAAAACAAGTGTAAAATGATATGTCAATATATCATTTGATAAACAGCAAGTCGGATAAACATTTTTGGACAGCAAATCTCAACTCATTTTGTGTTGCCTTTTTTCTTCCTGCTTTTTCATAACTTTTTTGTTATGTTTAATAAATGGTTGCTACTTCGAAAAGAAAAGATGGGTAGGGTCGGAGTCGAGGGTAATTCCAAATTGACGGTGAAAATGTGTTGAAATCTCAATCACTTAAATGAATTCTATTTACATATAGTTACTTGCGCTTGGTCACCATGCTTTTGACCTGTTATTGACTTTGGGGTCAATGTTACTAGGTTGAAATTGTCATGCTTAGTAGTCAGGTAGACTCAAATAAGCGAATTTGAGCTTCGTAAATCTTGTTGAATTTCATGAACGAATGATTGAATTTGAGCTCACGAGAAGAATACCACTTAAGGCGATTTTATCATGTTATTGTTAAGTCCGTTTTAAGTCGATAGTGATGATTGTTTGTCTTCATCATAACAAAAGCTCACTAAATGCTAGTGACTGACTTATGCCTTCTATTTCGAGGTGGGGCTCCTTGCCTATGCTTTTCTATTCATCATGCTAATTCTTTCTTTGTACTGCAAGTCAGCTTACGATATTATCATGCACTAGTCTATGTTATGGATTAGTTTGTAAGGTTCTCAATATTTTACTCTCTCTTGAAGATATTTCCGAGTACTTCACAAATTTTTTTGTGTCATTACAGAGACGTGGGGGCAAGCTGCAATCACCTGAATCTTTTCCAAATTTTGAAAGCTTTAGTTCAAAGGGAAGAACACTGGGTCAATAAAGTGTAAAGAATTGCTTGGAATTTGGTGCCCCACCTAAAGCTAAGTTTTGAACAAAACTAGAGATGAAACATGGAGCTTTAAAAAGAGGTATTCACAATCAAACTCGGATTAGTATCGTGGGGTTAGAAATTAAAATGTAAGTTATAAACAACATAATATTAATGAAATTATGTTAATACAATACTATAATTGTAGTTTACACATCTTGATACTTTGAAAACGTCATATAATTACATCATTATTAATATTGTCAAATAAATTATGCTATTTGTATATTTTTGTTTACCATCTCGTTAACAATTGTTGAGCCGGCAAGAATTAAATCAAGTTGAATGTAGGAAGGAAATGTTTTGAAATAAAACTCAAATTTAATCTAGGAAATAAATGAAATTCAAACTTAATTCGAAAGTAATTCAAATTACACTTACTCTAAAACGATCCTAATTTTTTTTACATCATACTTTATGTAAAATTTGCTAATAAAATAATGTAAATTATATTCAGAAATTTGTTGTGCAAAAATAAAAAGCATTAATGAAATAATTAAAATTTTCTAAAAGGAAAGGTGAATTAGACATATCTTTTAGAGAAGTACGTTTTATGCACGTTTAACTATGTTTGATATCTGTTTGGACCATTCGATATAATTATGATGTAGTTCTTGAAACAAGTTTCTGGGTGACGTCGGCGATTTGTGGATTCGGCTAGCATATAATCGTCGACGAATTTTTAAAATTAGTATATTATTGAAATTCTCGAAATACTACTTTGAAATCACCTACTTTGACGCTCCGTAAATTTTGCTACGATTGGCCGTTTCACG